GTGTTCGTAAAAATAGAAGAAAGTATACAAGAGAATATTATGAAGTTTTAGGCAAACATGGCAAAATGTACACACTGCAAGCAGAAGAGAAAACTATTATTGTCAGACCTCTTTTCAAACTTGTCAAAGTTCAAGGTGGTATACTTTCAAAGACAGTTCCTAACAAATATAAGACAACTCCTGACGAATATGCTAAAGAAGTTGAAAATGACGACTAAGCAATTCTATACCATGCGTAAACTGTCATGTAAGGTGGCATGTAGTCTTTACTTTGTCCCGTTGTTTGTGTATATCCTGAAACGAAATGTGTATGGTTTCCTTCTCCCTGAGTGTCATCCCAGTAACAATTTATAGCAAACTTAACGTCGTCTTTAACATCATATCCTTGACCTTTTGTCATTCCTGACCAATCCCAATATCTATGCTTATGCCAACCTGCTTGAGATGTACTTAAATCTATGTAGTGACTGTGTGCAGGTAAATTTTCACCTGAAATCGTTTTACTTCCACCTGTTTCCTTTGAAGAGTTTGCACAATACAAAAACTTGTCGACTATTTGAGTCCAAGTTCCAAAACCCAGAACTGTTTCTGGTCTGGTAGAGTTCATTGACGTATAAATAGAGCCTATAGGATATAATGTTTGAAGTATTTCAGTCTTTAATGTTTGAAGCTCTGTTTTGTCAGCCTTCTTATCTAACATTGCTGGTAGTTCATATGCTTCAAAGTTTCTGGCATGACTTTCAATGTTCCTGCAACTCTTATCTAAATTGTTAAGAGTATCTTTTACGCTTGTACTTGGATTCTCTAAAGGTGCACTTGAACCAAGGTCAAAGTTCAATATTATATCATCTGCTGTAAAAGTTGTAAAACTTGTATGTGTATGTCCAACGTCACTTTTCCTGTTTAAAGTTTCTTGTAAGTTTGTAATATTTGCAATGGTATGTGTATGTCCAACGTCACTTTTCCTGTTTAAGGTTTCTTGTAAGTTTGTAATATCAGATATAGAATGTGTATGCTGTTTTTGTGGATATGTTCCTTCTGTCCATTTGAAAATATATTCTTTTGTTGCATCTACATATCCAGCTATCCATGTCGAGTCTGCTTTTGTATTCCTTAACTCTGTAACACCTTTCTCAAGCTCTTTCAACTGTTGTCCATCTTCCATTAAAGCTCTGTCATGACTTGAAACCGTTTGTGCCAACATATCTACAGTTTCTTTGTCAGCTTTATTTTCAACGTCATCTTTTGTTGCATATGTTGCATCTGCTCTGTCATGTTCTTCTTGAACTTTTTCAATGACATATGTTTTGTCTGCTTTGTTGTCAACATCTGCTTTCAAAAGAAGTTCTTTTATAGGTTTCTCGTTTAAAGTTCCTTTTGTTGGATTTATACAAACAGTATGGTTCTTATTGTCTTGAAACAGAAACTCATCTGTCATTGGGTTTAATGTCAGTTTTAAGTTTCCTTCTTTCAATGACTCAGATATCTTAGAATAGTTTGAAAAGTTTGTTGTGTTCTTATTTAGAGCTTGTATAATGAGTTGTCGGTTGTGTTGTATTTCTCTCATAGACGCTGTTTCATTTGACATTTTTATTCTAGATAAAATATGCTTTCAATAGAAAAAGAAAATTCAAGAGTTGCTACAACTAAACCATTAGATGAACTTTTTACGAATGTCGGTCAAAAGTTTGAGACAGAGACCGTAAAGCATGAAGGCTATCGTTTTGACTACCCGTTAAGATGGTTAAGAGACCCATCTGTCACAAAAGCTATTGGCTTTCGTAGAATGAAGTTCATTTCAGAAGCCATACATGGTTTCCCATTTACAGTCGGTTTTGAAGTTCGATACTATAACAAAGAAAAACGTACGTATGAGAAATTTGAACAGGGAAAACTTTTACAAGTGAATTTGCTTGTAAACTTAGAAACAACTCTTCAAGCTTTTCAAGAAAAAATAAACGACATCTATATCGAATATGCAAACCAGTATAACATTGACGAGGGAGAGTACCATCTCGATATTATATATGACAGGAAAAATGCAACTGTTAAAATCAATAGAATAGAAGACCTTGGAGAAAACGTTTATATTTCTACAAAATATAACAACTTGGCATGGTATAGATTTCTGAGGATGTTAAATCAGCCTGCAGAATATCCAGTACACCCGGACTTTTATGAAGTCGAAAACCCTAATGGAACATATGAAAATGTTTTCGACTCAGATGCTATTATAGTTCATGCTTCATTTTCTGGCGCCCAAAACTCTTTCTTATGCTTGGCAAATGACTTTTACGAAAAACCTACAAAGCTATATGAACCACCAAGTGGAAGTATTTCAGACTTTCAAGTATGGTTTACAACAGATGGAAGAAAGAGAATAGTTCCATTATACCATGCGTTTTACTTAGAACTTAGTTTCATATACAACTACTATCGAACGGTAAAAATATAATTTTTTAATACGGTTGAGGTGTTGGATTTGGTTGCCAACTTGACTGTGGTGCAGGTTCAGGCTGTTGTATAACAGGAGCTTGTTCTTCTGGTTCAGGGTCTTTAGGTATAATACCAACGAACTGACCTACTCTTTTACCAATATTTTTGACTCCGTTCCAAATTCCTCTTCCTACGGTTTTATTCCATTCCATATACCTCTTCCGACTCTTCTGAAGAAGTTTCCAATACTACTGAAGAAACCCATTTTACTATATGTAAAAATCTAATGTCCGCCTAGTCTCTTACGTTTCCTTCTGAGTTCCATAGCATTTTTTAACTGGAGCTCATACATTCTGTTTCTCTTCTGGTAGAAAACATATTCTGGGTCAACTCCTGTGTTCGCGTCATCTGCATAAAGTTGTTTATATCCCACTTCAGGGTTTGTATAAAACTCTTTCCATCTCATATTTGCATACCATGGTGGCAAACCTAACGCAGCGTCATTTGACATGGCAGTTTGCATTTGTACATCTGTTGGCACTTGACCATAGTTTGCCATTGCAGTTTGTATTCTAACTTCATTTGGAATATTCTCTGGGTTTGGTTGTCCAGGTTGCTGTGCATTCGCTAAGTTCTGTGCGTCCATTTAATATTAGATAAAAATATCTCTTACGAGTACATATACTGGACATTTGCAGGCATTGGTTCATCTTCATATTCTCTATATCTTTCTGCCACGTCAAATAAATAAATGACACAATGGAAAAAACCTAAAACAAGTAGTCCTATTTCAAACCACATTTACTTACTAGTAAAATTTCTTTGTTATGACACTTTCTCAGGTTTATAGGACCTCTCTCATATTCTATCTTGTCATATCTAAACTCATAGTCATGTATGTCCTCTAACCATCTCATAACGGTTTCCAAACCACTTTTATCGGATGTAAAGTAAAAGCATGGATGGTTATGTAAAACGTCTAAAGTTTCTAAAGAGTCTCTCAAAGTCCAGTCTACTTGGTATTGAAAATCGCATGTGTTATAGAACGGCGGGTCCACTATAAAGAAAACATTTTCCTTGTCTTTATATTTTTCATACAACTCTGTCCAACGACATCTCACAAACTCTATACCCTCAATATATTTTTCTATGTCCTCTTTGAAAACATTTGTATAGTTAAGATATAAAACTTTTGACATAAGTGTTTCAATGTCATGAACTCTTATAGCACCACTATATAATAGTCTAGCAGATATACTATCCCAGTCTATATATTCTGCTTTTTTCAAAACCTCTCTCACAATATTTTTGTTATCTAATGGTATACGTTCCATCTTACCTATAGGTATCTTTTCTTTTAACTCTTTCAATATATTGTTTGTGTCTGGTATATGTTTGAGACGGTCCATATAGTTGTCGAAGTCATTGCATATAATCTTTGAGTCTGGGAATATTGTATGGCACAAATGGGATATATAGAAACTTCCACCGAACAAATCTACAAATGTTAGACCATTCGGTAGTTTCTTAAGTTCTCTCAATAGAATATCTTTACATTTACTCTTATTTCCAAAGAACGGTAACGGTGGTTTTGTAAAATTCATTTATATATAATAATAAAAATGTTTTTACCTGAAAAGTGACAGAAAAGTGACAAAACATGAAAACATATATAATTTGTGAAAAGCGACACATTATATAATGTTTTCGACCCAGAAGAAGGCTTCTCAAAGTATACTTCCTTGGAACGCCTGTAACTTTTCCTGTAGCGACGATAGACCCTTACTTGTCCGGACAAAGTTATACTAAACATCTTCAGGGCTAGAAGGGGCGCAGCCCCTGGAAGCCCCACATACCTGACCTAATAAAATTACTAAATTTTGTAAATTCGATTAGCTAATCGAATTCTGAAAAAATCTGAATGAAAATCATCCATACTGTACTTTACAGCGGTCGATATTTCGCTTTTTTTCTTTTTTGAGTAGTCACTTCACTTATGATTTTCTAGGCAGAATAATTTTAATTCTACAATCTGTACCTAAATTGCTGCTTGTGAACCGTATAAATAATAATCAGTTACTTAATTCCTTCGTATTTTTAATCAAATCTCTAGTATTCTTATCATGACTTTATTACCATACTCTTAGACACAAGTAATAAAAGCTATTCAGACAATCTATTTTACATAAGTTCACAAGGACTTTCATTCAATATTCCATCAAATTATTAATATGCATGTTACACTGTGAAGATCTGGTTCTTTCATAATGTTGCAATCATGACACTCTCTTAGACAGATTCAATTACATATTTTCAATTTTGACATATGATGAAGCAAATAATATAGATCCGCAATAGATAAAACAAATAAGAGGATCTTTAATATAAACATAACAGATAATAAACTATATATTTTATTCTGTCCGATATATATTTTCGAAACAGTTGCCAACTCATTACTTGAATCGCATCTGCTTCGATATTTCAAAGAATACAATTTCTATATTATAACAATTCATCATTTTGGCCAAACTTTGAATCAAACAGTTCGTGAAGATATGGACTTATGGGCTTGTTCCTGCTGTCTGCTGTTGTGGTTGATATGTTCGTAAAGTCCATTTTCTTATTTCTCCCATATTGTTTTTCAAATATGGGTATCTTTCCATGAGCAACTTTTGAAGAGCTTCACGTGGAGCTGGTTGCAAGCCACTGTCATGGAGTGTAGAATTTATCGATGATTTGCATTTGAATAATAAAAACTTCAATTGCTGAGTATTTATAGCGATTTCTTGATCAAACCATAAAACACCGCAAGCAAGACACCTTTTATGATCTTCATAATCACCACGAATTGCCCATCTCTTAATGATTTCTAAAGCTTCAGCAAACTTTGATATTTTCTTGTTTCTTTTAATTTTTGAAGACATCTGACAGAGGGTTGCTCTGAGTTGTAAGAATTGTTGCTTATCATAATAGTTCAAGAGCCAAAACTCTTGAGGAACTTGGCCCCCATATAGCATCAGGTTATTCATAGCAAAATCAATAAAAATAAAATATGACCATTTGACTTCTCAAAATTTGAGAGAAACATCACAAAAAAAGTAATTCAAATTGAATATAATTTTGACTGCAAATCTAGCCCGGCTTTCTCTCAAATATTATACACATTAAAGTTTTATGCTGCTATTTTATTTATAGAATTTGGTTTTAACTAAATTTTGACGCGGATACAATCTTTTAAGCACTCCATTCAATCCCAATCATTAATTTATGAATTAGCTGTAACAATATATAACTAGAGTGATAGACAAGTATTAATTTATGATTTAAAAAAGGTCTGGATCATTTGACATCAATTAATTCAAAATTGTCTAATTGGCCAATCAAGAGGAAGTTGATACTAAAATGCTAAAATAGATAAAATGAACTTTTAGGAAAATCAAATTTCGAACAACCGATTTTGTGAAAAAATCAATAGAAAATATCACATAATCTCTATTTTTACATAGATTTTTTTTTAAAATTATTGAATGCATTCAAAATTTTATTCAATGTGTATCAGGTTTAAGAGGAAATGATCTGAACAATATATAACTTTGTTTCCCCAATGAGACACATAAAGCATCAAAAGATTTAATTTGTGGAATTCCTCCAATCGAAACAACATTCTTATCAAAATTCAAATTTTGGCTATCTAAAATTATTGATGCAAATGATCAATCCTATCATTATTCCATAACCGCGTTCTATGAAATCAAAAAAGACATCGTGGCATCCTGAAAAAAATTCATTTTCGCGGGGTTCGAACCTGGTTAAATGTACAAAGTATCATCAAGAAAAATTTAAGAAATAGTCAGCTCGGATCAACTCATGTTTATTTAATCAATTTTTTAGAGTCAATTTTCACATGTTCCTAATTCAAATCCCAGTTGAACCAAGGAAGGCATAAATGGTTCATATATATGACTATCATGCATTTTCAGTAAATTAGATAACTTATTTTTACCTTGTGTTTACGTGATTACTCTTTTTCATATTCGGCTCAAAAAATAGGCCCTGTTTAACAAGGCTAACGCTCATTTATAATTTCATATATCCAATATAAATACACGGTAATAATTTTTAATGCATGATGAATCTTTTTTGATTTAATTGAATAGGATCATGATGACAAAATGCTAATTCGCTAAAAATCAATCTTGAATTCATGAGCCTGAAATACAGGTATCAATATTATAAGACAAATTGGTTTTGATCAAGGAATTTTTTCCAATCTCCTTCTAGAATATTACAAAAACATACGACTTGCGAATTCATCGCTGTTAGAATTTTTTGTAGTATACCTATTAACACTAATTTATAGGGAAAATATTTATCGACAATTGATGGTAACCAATTGAAGGAAAAAATAAAACGGGCAAGAAAAAAGTTTGTAAATGTGATTAAAATTTTCGATTATTTTGAAAACTGTGTATATGCACTATGATCATCCTAAATACAAAAGACTGTGGAATAAAATTTTCAGCTACCCATTGTTCTCAAATTTTTGAGAGCCTTTTAAATTGTATTGGATTTTTTTTTCAAAATCATTTTTCATTAATGGAAACTGAACAAGGTGAAAGTACCCCAATGTTTTTGAACCTTCTTTCTACTGAAAATCAAAAAGCGTACAAAGACTTGCAGAGCATTCTTGCAGCAAAAGATCATCGCTACAATCGTAACAAGCGCATCGTAACCTTTCAAGACATGCTTTCTCAGATCAAAGAATTTTGCGTCAGAGGTGATTCTAATGACTGGAAGCGCTACTTAGTCTGCGGTATTTGTTGGATTAATAATGATATCGCAATTAACACAAGACAGCTTCGTATCTTACTCGGAAAAAGCAAATCTACAATCAATGGAGCTTTTTCAAAGATGGGATATGAGACTCTTCCATTCAAAAACAACGATAATCACTTAGAAGAGATTATTCCTTTCCTGAAAGGTAACTTTTCGGAAGCACGCCAGTGGACAGTTAGACGCAACATTAGCAACGCTGTATCAGACACAGAAAAGATAGAAGAAGTGAAGTCACCAGAACCTATTAAATACGCTAAAACACCAGAGCCTATTGTTGAATACCAAGCCCAGGAACAAGATTTCAACACATTCGATGATTTTAATGCTACAGAATTCTCTTACGACCAGATTATCGAACCAGCATTCGATTTTAAGACAGATTTTAATTTCGATGCTTACGAAACATCTGCTCTTAAGTTTGAAGAAGAATACCCATTCCCACCACAACCAACAACAACAAATGTTTTCGCTTTCAAATACTTTTAAATTTTTTACCATGAATAAAAGAAATAATAAGTTCTGTGTGTATTATTAATTGAATTCTTTTTATTTTTATATCCCATAAGAGTCGGTTCATAAATTTCAATTGGAAAATTTTTGATCAAAAAAAATCATTTATCTCTAAATTTGTGTATTATTCATTTTTAATCGAGCGATTTTCAAAATTAATTTTTTACAAAAATTTTGATCGGAAAAAATGATTTTATTCGGAATGGTTTTGCTCTTTTAAATCAAAAATGTATTATATTCCTTCTAATATGAAGAAAAATCCAAAATGCTGTTTTCTTCCAATGTAGCCAAGATTCTGGCTAATTGCAAAAATGAAGAAAAAGCATTTAGCAAAGAGAAGGATACCCCTTTCTTTCATAATGTAACGAATAAACACTCTTCGGCGAACCAATCCTTTCTTATCAAACCTGAAATAATTTTTCAATCAAAAACACCATCTGCAGACTATTCTACTATTATATCTGAAGCTATGAACAATGTAATTCTTCATAACTCTCTAGAGAATTATAATAAAGCATTTCAATGCATTCAAAAATTATCTCGCAACAGAAATCAATCAAATGATGTTGTGAATTTTGCTAAATCTTTTATTACAGAAGATTTAGAAATCATTTTATCACAGTTTTCAAGTCTTGATAGCATGGAAAAGATTAATTTGAAATTAATTGAATTAAAGAAGGCTATTGAGTATATTACATCACTTCTATACTCTCCGATTCGGTCATATTCCTTTTCAAGAGAACCAAATCAAATAATTACAGATGTTTTGATAGATTTTGTCAAATATAACCCTGATATAATCAAAACAAACATGGAATTTGCGTTAAATTATGCAGTACAATCAATTCTCAACACTCCTGAAAATATAGATGATTTAACTTTGGATTTTATTAAAAATTTGAGTGATATCTTCACTCAATCTCAATTTATCACAGAGTTTTCCTCTTTCTTGTCCAAAGGAGACTATGATTACATGATATATGACCAAGAAATCGACCAAGTTTTGTATCATTTGTATAATACTCGAGCACAAATCAAAAAACTATCATCAAAGTTAGGTGAAACATTAGTTGCTTCAATAATCGATGCAGTTACTACTTCTTTATTTAAGAACCGATTTGAAAATGAAAATGTTGAAATTATTCAACAAATTTTCACATCAGATAACAGAGAATTAATCAACATTCTTCTAGAAATATCAGATGCACGTAATGATACAACTCTAAGTGACTTATTAAGCTCTGGTTACCAAAGTTACACCAAATCAGTTCTAAAAAAGTATCTTTCATACGGAGACCTCGGAGGAATTGACCAAATATTGTTGTTCTTTCAGTCATTGCTAGATTTAAACCTTCCTCAGATTCATCCTGTTATGAAAGCATTTCAACAAGGTCTGAACGAATCTCCATCACTTATATCATTTGAATTCGCCAGATTTTGCAATACAATGATTCTTTTCCATCAAGAAGACTTCAAGAAAAATATTGATCTCATAATTCATTTCTTTGGCGAATTGTATTCAATAGATAACTTTCTAACATATTATATGCAATTTCTAACTCTTAGATTATTAGAATACAAAGAATTTATCCCTGATGCGGAAAAAATCATGTTAAAACATATAAATGATGCATGTGGATATAATACAAACGCATCTAAATTGGAAATTATGATAAAAGATGCAGAAAACAATTCCCAACAAGCAAATTCAAATTCTATCGCAACATTTTACTTAATTAAAGAAGATGCATGGCCATACTTTTCAGAAGTTGAAATAGAGACACCAGATATGATAAATAATGCTTTTGAAGAGTTTAAGAATCAATACATTGAGAAAAATCCGAAACATCAAATTAAATGGCTGAAAATACTTGACAAAGTCCATTTTACCTGTAACAGTATTGAAATTGAGTGTTCAGCATTTCATTACTCAATTCTGCTTCAAATTACTCAACAAAAAGAAATAGAATTGAAAACAGAACGAGATAAAAGTGCAATTGAAGATTTAATTAAAGCAAACCTAATTGTTAAGCATGAGAACACGTATTTGTTTACTCCTCCAACAAAACCAGTAAAAGTTAGTAATTTACCCGAATTAATTCCAGTTGCTGAGAAAGAATCAGAAGCAAACCAAATCAATCAGATAAGACAGACAGCTCTTGAAGCAGGAATCATTAAAATTGCAAAGAAACATCAAATAATCAAAGTTGACGATTTATTTAATGAAACATCATCTTATGTCAAATTCCCATTGACTAGAGAGGATTTTGATATCAGACTTGGAAAGATTCTTAAGATGGAACTTCTTTCAACAACAAAAGACGGAAGAATCCAATTTACTCCATAATTAAGCATGCATATTGTTATATATATTGTTGTTTTGTATATAAAAGATATTATTTTCAAATTCTTAAGTTTATAATACATTGTTAAAAGTTCAATAACAATTTTATTATATTTTTTGTGGACTTTACAGAAATTACATGTAAATATGTATTAAGTTATTTGTTTGAATGACGAAAATGAAATCGAAATTATGTACATCTGATAAATAGAATGTTGCAAATTAAATAGAGAACAGAAGATATGGAGAGGATTTGTAAATACACAAAAATCATTTTTATGGATAAAAATTGCTTGAATTCAAAGAAATATGATAAATCGCAAATAAAAAATCTAAAATCTAAGAAGTTCTACGGAATCAACAGTTATTTGTTCACAAATTGCAACTTCTAAATCTATATATTCTATTAGATTCTTCCTTTTAACGAGTATTTTTCTGAAAAATTTAAGACATTTGTCCAATTCCAGTTCCTGTCACATAATTCGACATTTCATGCTGAATCTAACATAAATCATGAATTGAAATAACAAAATGTCTATTATTTCAGAAGGGCGTTAAAAAGTGACTGACAATGTCATGTAAAGTTTTCTTCATCCATTTTAGTTTAATATTGCTTTTATAAGTCTAATGATCACACCTTGATCGACCGAATTATTTGATGATCTATTCAAATTTGTGTTATCCCTTTTTTTAAAAGGTCAATTGTGCAATGAAAATATTCGTTGAATATTAGGCAGGAAATTATAAACTATCCAAGAATTACATTAAACTAATATCTTTTATATTGAATCAACGACGATTATTTTACAGAAGTTTACATTTGTGGCTGATGGAGTCTGCTGTTGTAACTTTGAGATTCATATTTAAATCAGATTACTACAATGGACCGGTCACTGCTTCAGTGAGGTGGATGAATTATGATAATAATGTCCAGACACCCCAATTAAATTATGAAATTAACTTAAAGCAACTCAGTAACATAGAATTCATCAACGATCTAACAATTACAGTTCCACCGAATTCTCGGATTTATTTTCAATTTGTTGAAAAAACTCCATTCGAGACAAAATTTTATCCAATCTCCTCCTATCCAGTCAAAACATCATTCCAAAACCCGATAGAAATATTAGAAACAGAACCCAGCCGAACTCCAAATCAGTCTAGAACCGTTTTAAGATTCAAAATGAATTATTATACCTATTTTGGCCAAAATTTATATATTATTGGCTCCACAAGATCTCTTGGATTTTGGGATCCAAAAAATGCGCTTCCTTTATCACATTCTGGCTCAATTGGTTCGTCAAATATCGGTCCGAACGGTCTTTTCAGCGATAGACGCTACAACTGGCAGGGCGATCTCGTGGTAGACTGCCTGCCACCGTCGCTCACCTACAAATACATTTGCTACGACGGGACAAGTTTTGTCGAAGAACCAGAGTATCGAACGATAACTCTCGGCGGCGCCGGGGGAATTATAGAGCTTAATGATGTCTGGCGTCTCAAGACAATATCATCTCCATTATATTCAACAACATTTTTCGCAGATACGATTTTCAAACCTTCCGTCATCAACGACGGCAGAATTACAACATCGCAGAACGAAAACATCAAGTGCTTCTTCAGAGCAAACGTTGCAGGCCTCGGACGAGACAGAAAATTACGAATTGTAGGTTCAATTCCCGAATTAGGCGAATGGAACGAAACCCGCGGCCTTGACCTTGCATCTCGTGTCCGGCCGCTCCCAGACAACTGGCCTGTGACCGAATCTCTCGGATGGAGCATAGAAGTCGAAATTCCAGCATCGAGATTTCCTTTTGAATACAAATACATCGCTCCATCAGCTGCGAATACTGGCAGCGCGCTCTGGGAGATAGGAGAAAACCACACAGCGTCAGTCAGTTCCGGTGTAAAATCTGCAACATTTGACAATTGGCACATAAACTTCCCAGACCTCACTTTCCACGGCTCATCCATCTTCTTCTCCTTCAAGTCGATACGCTGCCAGTCCCCCGTCTGCTCGTTCAACGTGTTTGCGCAGATCGGACAGTGGGCGTCGCGTTGCGGCTTCTCCCACATACAAGTCGCGGACATATTCGATACAAGGGCCATGTCCGGACAGATGGAGAAGCTCCCCGTCTCCGGTTTCGCGTTGAATCCGCTGTTATTATCTCTGGCTGAGTACGGATTCGTTCCTGGCTCTGACGATCCGAACGTTCTGTACGTGGAGAAGATAAACTTCTTGGAAAACAGGGTCTTTCCAGCAAAAATTTCGGAGATGGAGGCAAATGTGGACAAATTCATCGAAGATAACCTTTTCTGGCTTGAGGATTACGCGAAATTATGCGAATCAGCACGTAGATGTGGTTCTGCAGCCAAAGCAGCCAATATTCAGAATTCTGATCCGAAATTCAGGAAAATTGTCAGATTTATTCAATACTTATGCTATGAACAGATCAAGAATGCAGTAAAGTTCTGTCGCGAGCTGCATATTGCTGTAGGACTCGATCTTCCTTTTGCTTTGTCAGAATTTTCAGCCGAAGCACGCTACAGACAGTATCTCTTCCTCAGAGATTGCAAGCTCGGCACTCCTCCATCACAGAACTCCCCAGTTGGCTCAGTTCTCCCAGCATTTCCATACAATTTCAAAAATGTCGGCTGCCACGACTGGATAACCAACAGATTGGACTTCTTTGGCCGGCTATTCCCAGCCATCAGACTCGAATCCACCGTAAACTTCTTCCGCCAGTGGATAATTCCGACAGATCGCTGCGTCAGAGCTGTTTTTGGCCGCTACGAACCCTCTGTCTCCATCTCCTGTGCGGAACTAGAGACATGGGGCCTCTGGGATGTCGAGCGCTACTCCAAAGCTTACATCCACTCAGATGTCCTGGAAAACCTGTTTGGAGACGACGCCAGGGCAATAGAAGAGAACTTTCTGTACAGACTTCCAGACGGATCTCTCGCTTTCAAGCAGGAGTTTTCTTCAGAGAGGCTTCTAGTTGACTCCCAAATCAACGGATACGCTCTGGAACTTCGAAATCGCCATCTAAAGAACCTCCTCCGTCTTCAGGGCGAAGTTCTCCTCATCAGGATTGGAGATGGCGACTTCATGCCACGTCCTGCTCTGAACATCGCTCCTGACGAGAAAGGCGGCGCATCCATTTCTTTCTCAGCTCTTCCGCCATACGAACAGAACGCTCTTCTGAGGCTTCTGAATGAGTCAACACAGAACAAACAGAGGCCTCTCTGGGCAAGTTCCGGCAGATCCATTCTGAGCAGGATGATGAGTCAGCAGCACTGTTTAGTTTTCTCCGACGCTGCAGGAGTTCACGGAGAGATCTGCGACGACGTGATACAGAAGCTAAACATTGTTCCGCTGAGAGTTCAGACAGAGGGAAAGTGCGGAAACACGTTTGACGACGTGAGGTCATATCCATTCTTTTCTGTCGCAGCTCCAGCGAGGAACAGCGACCCTCCTCTGAGCCAGATGTGGGACAACGGGAGGATAGAGTGCCGCCGCCTCTGGGAGGAAGAACTCTGGGAGAGCGGCCAGGCGCCTGTCTCTTTCGGTCCGAATGTCGCCAGCACAATAATGAGGCAGCACTGCTGGAGTGCGTCTATGCTCACGATGTTTCCTATTGACTGCTTGCCTGGATCTACTGTACACATTGTGAGGAGCAAACTGAGTGAATACGGAGCACTGGATGTTGCTGCTTTTGTCAATGACCAGAAGGCAGAAAAGGATATCAAAGAGATCCTGGAACAGACAAAAAGAATCAATTGAAAATTTTTTATGTTTTATTTTTATGTTGGAAAAAAAATAGATGTGATTTTTTGTTTTATTTATTTATTCTTTATTTATTTTTTATATTGGAATCTTTTCTTATTTTTTGTTAAATCTTTCTCAAAAAAAATTACTTGACTTTTTCTTTATATAATGTCAGAAAAAAAAGTCCAAACTGCGTAAAAAAGTCTATACCATGGTGCATTTTTGAATGTCAGGAGGGAAAGTTTGAGAGCAGAGTTGCTCCATATCCATCACTATATCATCCCTGAAAGTTTCGCCTTCATCAGTTCATTACATGGTTCAAATTGATAGGTTATACCAAAACTATTTTTCAAGGAAATAACGTATTTTTTGGCCCATAAAGGCACAAAAATTTCTAGATAGGATTAACTAGAAAAGGCAAAACTTTCGGGGGTGATATGGTGGGGGACATAGAGCAACTTTGCTCTCAAACTTTCCCACCTTACATTCAAAAGTGCCCCGTGGTATAGACTTTTTGAAATGGTATGGACTTTTTTTACTGACGTTAAAACTACATGATGTACATTTTAAAATCTTCTTTACTGATAAAGAGTATATCAATGATTTTTCATCATATCTCATTGTTTATAAAGATGTGGTAGCACCCGATTTGAGATTGGCACCAGCAGTAATAATGTTCATTCATTGTTGCCCAATGAAGGGGAGTACTGCCAAGGTTTGTTTTATTTCTTATATCGAAACTTTCGATATATTGAGATATTTAACAATATTTTGATGGCCATTCAAAGCTGCGAAAATACCTTAGAAAATTCTTTATAATCTTTTGATTGCCTATAGCTCCAGTCAAAATAAGAATGGCCATTTTTTGCTGCATAGTATACAAAACTTGCTCCATCATTTCTTCTAGAATTTACATCGTGGCTGATGTTTGCCAAATATAATACAAATTCAAGATGACCCTCCTGTGATGTGAAAAGAATTGCATGATCATTAAAAAAGAAAATTTTACTGTTTGATGTAATTTTATTTTTATTTCAACGGCCATCGGCGGTGATGGACAAATGAAGCGAAGCAACCGGAGCTCATCACTGCTGATGGCCAAATTTTATATATATTCCACTAGGAGTATTTTTCTTTTCGCTTTCATTCATTCGAGTTGATTTTCCTCTTTAACCGGGCATTTTCTTCCTTAAGTTCAGATATCGCTTTTTGATATAGCTCCACAGTGCTTTGATAGCTGTCAGCTGCACTTTTGTACGTTTCTCCTACACTTTTATACTGTTCCATTGCAGCTTTATAATGATCTGATGCAGCTGTTGATTGATTTAGTGCTTCTTTATATTTATCGATTGCTTCTTTATAATCAGTGATTGCTGTTTTGTAATGATTGTTTGATTTCTCCAATAAAGTGAGTTTTGATTTTAAATCTTCTATCTCTTCTTTCAACTGAATAACTTCACTCGAGTCAGTTCCATGTTCTTCACTGTATTTTTTAAAGAAATCTGCTAAATTGCCTGAAGACTTAAGTTTAAAAAACTTTTTATAACTTTGTAAAATTGAAATTGCATCATCATATGTATCAATACTAATTTCGCATTTACGAACACCATAATAAAGTTTATTAGATTCGCATTTTAATGATCCTTGTTGAAGAAGAGGTGCGAAATATTTTGAATTCAATGTAGATTTCTCCATTATCTGTGAAACAAGATCCATATCAAATAATTCATAAAAACTCTCTTGATCGGTGTATGTTTCAATGTTTTTGGCAATGGAATCTATGTCAAGAGTAAGATTATTAGTCATTAGTCGTAAAATATGGATAATTTTTCTACCTAAAAATTATCCGTAAAATATGGATAATTTTTCTACCTAAAAATTATCCATAAAATATCTGACTATTTTTCTTTTTATTATCGTTTTTAAACTGAAAATTGAGCTTTGATCAGATCTGTTTCTCATGATGTGTACATTCTTTGAATAATTAACTTTTATAAATTCTCAAATCGAACCACCGTTGAACCACTTCTATAATGGTTGTAAACTTAGAAGAAGCACTATAAAAACCTGTTTATAAAAAAATGATATCGATGTCAAAAAAATTCAATAAATATTTTTTATTATTATTATTTTCTTCTAGGAATTTTTGTTCCATTTCTTTTTCCGCCTTTTTTATTTTCTCCATCTTGAATTACTTGGTTTGCGAACTGCATCAACTCATCCACAGGATAAAGCTTTCTTCTTGCCTCTCTTTCCCAGTCTCTTTCGCTTTCATCGTCCTCAGGCATCTCAGGAGTTACGTGGTTTCTTTGTGGCGGAAGAGGTTCTGGCGGAGGAGGATTGAACTGTTTGATCTGTTTCTCAGAGTCACTCATTGTTGATGATGATTCCTGGTTAATTTGTTTGACTTGTTCCTCTTCTTCAGATGATGAACTTGATAAAGGAGGAGGAATTTGTTTCTTTTCCTTGACTTCTTCTTCTTCTTCCTCAGATGAAGAACTGGAAGAAGGAGGAGGGATCTGTCTCTTCTGTGGCTGAGGAGGAGGAAGAGGTGGAGGAGAATCAGACGGCATTTTCTTTGCTGCAGAAGATTTCTTTCGTTTTAGAGAAGAAGAGATTTTTTCGTCAGGAATATCTAATAACAATTCTGGTTCATTCGCCATCATCAATTTCGGCTTCTTCGGCTCTTCACTTTCTTCTTTCTGCTGATAATTTGATGAAGAGAAATTCGAATCAACAGATAACAATTTCGATTTGTATTTCAATACAGGAGGTGGCATTTTTTGTACGTTTTGTTGTTGATAGAAATCACTGTCATCGCTATCATCTTCCAACTGTTTTCTTATGAGTCTTGGTGCCTTAGTTTTTCTGTTTTTCATCTCAACAGTCTTTTGTGTCTCGTAATCATCGCTGTCATCACGGACAGAGAATTTAACAAAGCCTGTTTTAAGTGCATAATCAACAGAATCTTCTGAACTCTCCTCTTCTTCTTCAATCTGAATAATTTCTCTTTCTTTGGTCACTTCACTTTTTACTGGTTCAATTTTTTCTTCTTGTTTCTGGTCATTTTTAGCGATTTCCTCTTCTATCTTGAACATTGCTGTTATATCCGGATTCATTGTTGTGAACATTGTCTTGAAATCGTCATTCGTCTCGTTGTAGTACTTAAACATCGAAGGAGTCTGGTATTCAGTCAAATCTGACAGGGGAACTTCCTCCACTCCATCGTCATCCGGCAACAAATCGTTGACGTTCTGGAACGGCATTGGCAGGTTGAAAACATCAGTTGTGAATGAGTGGCGCTTCAAGTTCTGTCCTTTGTACGTCGTGTGCGCTTCTCTCGATATTTCCTTGATTAATCTTCTTATTTCCTCTGTCGCAGGGAAAGGAAGGTCGTTCGGCATGTGAAGTCTCGCTCTGTTGCTCATGATTCTCTGGACCAAACTCAGCTGGATGTCTCCCAATCGTTTAATTGATATCGATCTGTCGACTTCTGTTGATTTGTCAACAATTTTCTTCGCGTCGTTGACAGGGAAGTTCAAACTGGTGATGTGTTGGTTTGTTTCAGCTGCAAGAACAATGGAGTTGATCGATTCAATGGAAGTGAAATTGTTGTTGTCGATTTTCAGCTCTTTTATCGACTCTGATGAGTGGAGAACGTTTGAGATCGATGAGCTGCCGTTGTCTCCGATGTTGTTGCCGGAAATGTCGAGGGATTCGAGTGTCTGTTTCGCTGGAACTCTCTCAAGCATCGGGGAAAGATGCTGGCCGAGATTTGAGTTGGAAATGTCAAGTTTTTTGAGGTTAGGAATTCTGAGGAGTTTCACAAGGATTTGGTCGATTGTCAGAGCGTTTTGGAAGTTGGAAGCGATGGAGAGCTCTTCCAAATTGGTCATTCTGATGAATAATGGACATATGTCGGTCAAATCATCAACTGTCATCGAGTTTTGTGAAAATGAGAGAGATTTCCATCGGGAAAGGTCACTTCTGAGGAATTCTCTGTAGAGAGGAAGGATACTTGCACTCGTTAGCTTGAGATTGTTCATGTACAATGAGAAGTTTTTGAGGTTTTTGTTGTTGGATATCGTTGAAATGACAGAAGCAACGTATTCTGGTTGGAGATTGGTGCCACTGATATCTAAGACTTCTAATGATGTTGATCCATGTATTAATGTTAAGATTTGGTCGATGCAATGTTGATTAAATTTGCATCCGTTGACTTTGAGGGATTTGAGTGAAATGTTGTACTTAATGATGGTGTCTATGATGAACTCGACTGATGGAGAGTTGTTAATGTCAAGAGATTCGAGTGCAAGAGTATCTTTCGAATCTGAAATTGTTTTTATGAAATTATCGAAGGATTTGCATGCATCTGGTGTTGATATCTGTGTATTGCCGAGGAATAAGTACTTGATTCCAAGGAAATTCTTGTTATTTGACATTGTATTAAATAAGTTTTGAGAAACAGGAGAAAGAACGTTGCAGTTCGATATATTAAGGTATAAAACAGGTAATTGTGAGTATGAAAGTATTTCTGGGAAACAATTCATGTCTTGGATTTGATTATTCGAAATGTCCCAGTATTGGACTTGTAATTGTGGGTTCTTTCGAACGGTATCTAATAAACCTTGCAGTCCGGATTTGATTCCGCACTTTTCGAAGTGAATAATATGAACATTTCCTCCCATTGTGAATAAAGGACTAAAAGTAGTAATAGCTTCTGGACGATTCATATCGTAGCAGCATATGCCACCAACAAATTTCAATAAATTGACAGAATCGAAGATAGGAATTAAATCTTTCGGAGAACTCGCCAAATTAAGCGGTAATTGTGATAAATCAACGACAGAATTCTTAGATAAGAACAAGTTGTGGAAGTATCTAACGACTTCGTGGTTGTAAGGCACTCCTTGAAGTGCGCAATTTGAAAAATATGTAAATTGGAATTTTTGTGCTGGAGAAAGCTGTACATCGATGACTGGGAACTGATTTTCGTATGTTGGACGCATTTCTACAGAATCTGAAGGAGGTAACGAATTATAAGATAAAATAAAGTTTCTATATAGTATTTGAGCGAATCTAAGACACTCAGGTGCTGTTATAGTAAGATTGGTTTCTTTTGTTTGAACGACAGTGAATTCTGTACCTTTATTTGCGATTAATAAAACGTCTTTTATGTGAAACGATGCGTATTCTGTTAGTTTTTTCTTTTTATCTTGTGAGAAACACTTAACGAAGTGGCATGACATGGCCACAATCGATTGCTTCCTTGTAGTTTTGTAGATTCTCGCATCAGTTCGAAACATGATTTGAACTGGATGATCTATTTTGGGGAATAGGTTCAGAACTTGCTGCTTCTCTTCATCGATCAGTGGATCTGAGATATTAAAAGCAGTGTTCTTGTGAAAAAAAGTCATCAAAGATTTTTTGATTGTGTTAGAAATAATCGTTTTTAATTCAAAAGTTTGATAATTTAGGGGGAATATTTACAATAAAAAATTTGAAATTCGATGTAAAGATTTTCCTCGATTGCTATTTATGATATTTTTAATTGCATACTCAAAAAGTCATATGATAAAGAAAATTAAACCCTTTATCTGAGAATGATTTATGGAATTTTCAAAATTTTGGAATTAAAATTTAATCATTATAACAACAAAAAGTATTAATCTAGTTCCAACTCGATAAATACTAAATAATTTAAAACAAAGAATACATCTATTATTAATATTTTATTATAATATTTAATAAATTATATGAAACATATAAATTATTTCTCCCATTCAGTATCTAAAACGTGTTTGAGTACTAAATCTACGTACTCCTCCTTCATAACCATGAAGATGTGAGAGGCAAGTTCAGAAGTTGAATCCAAATTAATGCATTTGAGCTTCTTTGATGATTTCCAGTTATTGCATGCATAGTGGTATCCTTCCGCATTGATCAATGTATCACCGAGAGAATACATGTACTCTTTTGTTTGAGCGTTGTATCCGATGACTGTTTTCATCTTATCATTGTATACAATGACTGTTGGAACATCAAGTGGATTAATGGTCTGAGCGGAAAACTTCTTATGGAGTTCAAAGATTTCAGGAGTATTTCTGAATTTACCGTTTTTGGCTAAGAGTTCTGGTAATTCGGCAGCAGTGTAGCCTTTTCCTGTTTCATCATGGAAGACGTGAAGTTGGCCGAACACTTTGTGGTTTGGAAGATGAACGTAAAGAGCTCCGAGGGAGGAAGCAAGAGATCCCATTGCAGATTCTGAGATTCCGAAATGTCTCATGATATAAAGTGCTCCATTCCAAAGATTTTCAACAACTGTACCGCAGCCACCAAATGAAGGTGCGACCAAAATGGCAGATTCAATATATTTTTGGCGCCATTCTGGTATTGTAACATTAGACAAGAAGTAGTGGATGAAATATCCACCAAGTGAATGTCCAACTAAAGCAACTTTTTGATTTGAATTCAATGTATAGGCTTTTTCAACGAGATCTTTCATTCTTTTGTAATGATCATCACCTAGCATAAGGCCTCGTCTCCAATCGAATGGTGCGCCGAATAAATCTTTTCCGACTGTATATCCTTTTGTTTCCAGATACTTAATATACTTATTGAAATAAGGAATAAAGTTTGTAATGTTAAAGAATTCATCCAAGTAGCTGATACCATCAACGCCTCCAAAATCAACAATATCAAGATTAACTCCTTCTTGGTTTATCGCTGATTTTGTTGTATTATCGTATCTCATAGTGAGCCAGTCACTAAGACAGTTTCCAAGTGGAGGAATACAATATTGTTTCTTTACCCATATGTCAGTTTCAGCAACATTTTTAGGGCAGTACCAGTGAGTCTTTCTGTTTGTTACAGAACCTCGTAAGACACTACCCATAGTTCCAGGAATTAAGATCACAGGTTTTAATGAGCCTACAGTGTGAAAAAACAAAAACATTTTGAAGCTATTCAATTTTTGTGTTACTTCGAACCGTTTCTGAATGGCGATCAACAAACTTCATCTACACCAAATGTATATTATTTTGAACCAAATTTTTAAAATATAAATCACCTTTCAAAAATTTTTGAATGTTATTCTAATCAGGAATTGAGGAAAAAATTGATGAAAAAATGAATCAGACGAATTTTGATACCATATTATTTTATAAAAGTATGGTCAATAGTATAAATTCAATAAATAACTTCAAAAACTCGAGGATTTTTTTGCAATTATATAAAATTATGATAATATTTTAATAGGTGCCTTAAACATAAAGATACTCATGTCACATAGCTGCAACGTTAAAGAATTTCGCTTTAAATTAGTGAAATACATTTGCTCAGCATTAGAGGAGATATTTGAAGAGTAAAGACAATCGATTGCTTATTGTATATTTTTGGCAGCAATTCTAGCAGTTCGAAGCCAATGTAATGTTTTTTGAACATCATTTTTTTCAATTTCTGGGATAAATATGCATGTTTGGCTTATGTTAATTTTATCCTTTAATGTCATACCAATACACATGCAGGTTATGTTATTAAAACAGTGAAAAACAAGCAAACAAGATTTCGAATGCCAACCACAATTATATCTTTGAGGTAAATTATGTATATATTGGCCATTAAATGGTATATAAATGATATAATTATTGATGAATCAAGCCACTAGAGAAATAAAACTTTGAATTTAACTTTAATTCAATATGATTATGATTGTATATCAAAAAAAAAAAAAAAAAAAAAAAAAAAAAAAAAAAAGGAAGTGGGGCTTCCAGGCACTTCGTGCCTTCTAGCCCTGAGGATGAATGAGTATAATGAAGTTTTTTTTTCTTGGGGTGAGCTTCCAGGCACTTCGTGCCTTCTAGCCCACATAAATGAAGTTCTTATATATACGGGTCTTCCAGGAGCTTTTCACAAATTATATATGTTTTCATGTTTTGTCATGATTTCATCGTAAATGTTTTGTCAAGACTTCTTCTTCGTAAAATCAGACAAAAATATATTTTAGGGTAGAAGGGTATATCTACCCCGTTTTCTACCCTCTTTTCTACCCTCTTGAATTTTCATGAAATTTACACCAAAAATATATTTTAGGGTAGAAGGGTATATCTACCCCGTTTTCTACCCTCTTTTCTACCCTCTTGAATTTTCATGAAATTTACACCAAAAATATACTACTAGGGTCATTTACGAAGAAGTCTTAACAAAACATTTACGAAGAAGTCTTAACAAAGTCTTTACGAAGAAGTCTTAACAAAGTCTTTACGAAGAAGTCTTAACAAAACATAGACAAGAAAGTTCATGAGTGTAAATGACCCAAAAATATATTTTAGGGTAGAAGGGTATATCTACCCCGTTTTCTACCCTCTTTTCTACCCTCTTGAATTTTCATGAAATTTACACCAAAAATATATTTTAGGGTAGAAGGGTATATCTACCCCGTTTTCTACCCTCTTGAATTTTCATGAAATTTACACCAAAATATACTACTAGGGTCATTTACGAAGAAATCTCAACAAAGTCTTTACGATGAAGTCTTGACAAAGTCTTTACGAAGAAGTCTCAACAAAGTCTTTACGAAGAAGTCTCAACAAAGTCTTTACGAAGAAGTCTTAACAAAGTCTTTACGAAGAAGTCTTGACAAAGTCTTTACGAAGAAATTCATGAAAATTCAAGAGGGTAGAAAAGAGGGTAGAAAACGGGGTAGATATACCCTTCTACCCTAAAATATATTTTTGGGTCATTTACGAAGAAATCTCAACAAAGTCTTTACGAAGAAGTCACAATAAAACATCTATCACTTTTCAGGAAAAAACATTTTTATTATATATATAAAATGAATTTTACAAAACCACCGTTACCCTTCTTTGGAAATAAGAGTAGATGTAAAGATATTCTATTGAGAGAACTTAAGAAACTACCGAATGGTCTAACATTTGTAGACTTGTTCGGTGGAAGTTTCTATATATCCCATTTGTGCCATACAATATTCCCAGACTCAAAGATTATATGCAATGACTTCGACAACTATATGAACCGTCTCAAACATATACCAGACACAAACAAAATATTGAAAGAGTTAAAAGAAAAGATACCTATAGGTAAGATGGAACGTATACCATTAGATAAGAAAAATATTGTGAGAGAGGTTTTGAAAAAAGCAGAGTATATTGACTGGGATAGTATATCTGCTAGACTATTATATAGTGGTGCTATAAGAGTTCATGACATTGAAACACTTATGTCAAAAGTTTTATATCTTAACTATACAAATGTTTTCAAAGAGAACATAGAAAAATATATTGAGGGTATAGAGTTTGTGAGATGTCATTGGACAGAGTTGTATGAAAAATATAAAGACAAGGAAAATGTTTTCTTTATAGTGGACCCGCCGTTCTATAACACATGGGATTTTCAATACCAAGTAGACTGGACTTTGAGAGACTCTTTAGAAACTTTAGACGTTTTACATAACCATCCATGCTTTTACTTTACATCCGATAAAAGTGGTTTGGAAAGTGTCATGAGATGGTTAGAGGACATACATGACTATGAGTTTAGATACGATAAGATAGAATATGAGAGAGGTCCTATAAACTGGAGAAAGTGTCATAACAAAGAAATTTTACTAGTAAGTAAATGTGGTTTGAAATAGGACTACTTGTTTTAGGTTTTTTCCATTGTGTCATTTACTTATTTGACGTGGCAGAAAGATATAGAGAATATGAAGATGAACCAATGCCTGCAAATGTTCAGTATATGTACTCGTAAGAGATATTTTTATCTAATATTAAATGGACGCACAGAACTTAGCGAATGCACAGCAACCTGGACAACCAAACCCAGAGAATATTCCAAATGAAGTTAGAATACAAACTGCAATGGCAAACTATGGTCAAGTGCCAACAGATGTACAAATGCAAACTGCCATGTCAAATGACGCTGCGTTAGGCTTACCACCATGGTATGCAAATATGAGATGGAAAGAGTTTTATACAAACCCTGAAGTGGGATATAAACAACTCTATGCAGATGACGCGAACACAGGAGTTGACCCAGAATATGTTTTCTACCAGAGGAGAAACAGAATGTATGAGCTCCAGTTAAAGAATGCTATGGAACTCAACAGGAAACGTAAGAGACTAGGCGGACATTAGATTTTTACATATAGTAAAATGGGTTTCTTCAGTAGTATTGGAAACTTCTTTCGAAATGTTGGAAGAGGTATATGGAATGGAATAAAATCTGTCGGAAGAGGAGTATGGAACGGTGTCAAAAATATTGGTAAAAGAGTAGGTCAGTTTGTTGGTATTATACCTAAAGACCCTGAACCAGAAGAACAAGCTCCTGTTATACAACAGCCTGAACCTGCACCACAGTCTAGTTGGCAACCAAATCCAACACCTCAACCGTATTAAAATTATATTTTTACCGTTCGATAGTAGTTGTATATGAAACTAAGTTCTAAGTAAAACGCGTGGTATAATGGAATTATTCTCTTTCTTCCATCTGTAGTAAACCATACTTGAAAGTCTGAAATACTTCCACTTGGTGGTTCGTATAACTTTGTAGGTTTTTCGTAAAAGTCATTTGCCAAGCATAAGAAAGAGTTTTGGGCGCCAGAAAATGAAGCATGAACAATAATAGCATCTGAGTCGAAAACATTTTCATATGTTCCATTAGGGTTTGAGACTTCATAATAGTCTGGGTGTACTGGATACCATGCAGGCTGATTTAACATCCTCAAAAATCTATGCCATGCCAAGTTGTTATATTTTGTAGAAATATAAACGTTTTCTCCAAGGTCTTCTATTTTATTGAATTTAACAGTTGCATTTTTCCTGTCATATAAAATATCGAGATGGTACTCTCCTTCGTCAATGTTGTACTGTTTTGCATATTCGAGATAGATATCGTTTATTTTTCTTGAAAAGCTTGAAGAGTTGTTTCTAAGTTTACAAGCAAACTAACTTGTAAAAGTTTTCCCTGTTCAAATTTCTCATACGTACGTTTTTCTTTGTTATAGTATCGAATTTCAAAAGCGACCGTAAATGGGAAACCATGTATGGCTTCTGAAATGAACTTCATTCTACGAAAGCCAATAGCTTTTGTGACGGATGGGTCTCTTAACCATCTTAGTGGGTAGTCAAAACGATAGCCTTCATGTTTTACGGTCTCTGTCTCAAACTTTTGACCTACGTTAGTAAAAAGTTCATCTAATGGTTTAGTTGTAGCAACTCTTGAATTTTCTTTTTCTATTGAAAGCATATTTTATCTAGAATAAAAATGTCGAAAGAAACAGCGTCTATGAGAGAAATAAAACACAACCGACAACTCATTTTGCAAGCTCTAAATAAGAACACAACAAACTTTTCAAACTATTCTAAGATATCTGAGTCATTGAAAGAAGGAAACTTAAAACTGACATTAAACCCAATGACAGATGAGTTTCTGTTTCAAGACAACAAGAACCATACTGTTTGTATAAATCCAACAAAAGGAACTTTAAACGAGAAACCTATATCTGAACTTCTTTTGAAAGCAGATATTGACAACAAAGCTGACAAAGAGTATGTCATTGAAAAAGTTCAAGAAGAACATGACAGAGCAGATGCAACATATGCAACGAAAGAACATACTCATCCTGAACTAGCAGACAAAACATATGTTGACAATAAAATGTCAAGTGAAGTGACAAGAGCTGACAAAGAATATTCTAAAAAGACTCATATACATACCATTGCAAATATTACAAACTTACAAGAAACCTTAAACAGGAAAAGTGCCGTTGGACATACACATACATCTTCTGAAATAACAAACTTACAAGAAACCTTAAACAGGAAAAGTGACGTTGGACATACACATACCATTGCAAATATTGCAAACTTACAAGAA